TGAAATGCTCCCAAATCCAAAACTTTTAGAGCATGGACATGATACCACAAATACAAAATTTCACACCTGACCTCATATAATGGGTCACATTCAAAATACCACAATACAAAAACCATCGAATAAAATTACCTTCAGACTATGTGTACCAGGTGTATACGAAACCTTAACACATTCGGTGTTTAGACTTGGGTCCGATCCCCAAGATATCTCATTATATATATGGAAATATTCTAAAATCTGAAAAAGTCTGAAATCTGAAATACTTATGATCCCAAGCATTTGGGATAAGGGATACTCAACCTGGAGTATGAAAAAAAATCTTCTATGTGCTATTTTTTATGAATTGTATAGTGCAAAATGGGATACCACCTACTAAAGTCAGCTTATTAACTGAATGAAAAAAAATTATTCTATTAGTTAATTTAAAAATTATACCATGTAAGTGACTACAAGTCTTTACTGGATAGAGTTCAAGTGTGCCAAATAATGGATTCCTTCCCAGGCTGCTTATAAATTTGCTTAAACATGCATGAAAACTGAATTTTCTTTGGTGAGGATAATAAATGTGAATTTAGCTGTCTATTAGTAAAAAGCACCTATTTACTAGAATTAGCAAATAAGCTTTGAAGTTCATTTCAAAACAAAATTTCAAATTAAATTATAATTGAAAAGCTTTGATAATATCTATTGTGAGTCAAAATTCAGAGATAAAAATAATATAACCCTTGCTTATAAGGAATAAGAATGTGTAATGACAAACTGCAAGCCTCTCTAGTTAAAGAACTGATTTTGATACACACACACACACACACACACAGTATTATATATAATACACACATAATTAGTAATACCAACCTGTCAGCTAATAGAAGAAATAACTACCATTTATAGTGTATTTAATTTTAATAGAAAGCCAGTAGAAGAAATGTGTTTTCTGAGCTGAGGAAATTTACGCATCTTATGCCTGAAAATATTTCAGATGGCTCTAGCAGTTAAATTCTTCTTTTCTTTAATTTTCATTCATTTGTTCATCATGTATTTTTAGAGCATCTACTATATGTACTTTGGTATTATCCAGGAATAAAATGGTAAGCTAAAACAAATGGATTATATTCTAGTGATATAGACAGATAATAATCAGGTAAGAACAGTGATGAATATGCAATCATAACCTGAGAGAAAGGAACAGGGTTTGATAGAGTATATTACAAGGATAGCTGAATTAGTGTTGGGGAAGGCTTATACAAGAAAGTGATACTTGTGCTGGGATTTGAAAGATGATTTGGGATTTGTTAGGTGGCAAAAGTTGAGGAGTGAAAATAGTGTGCATTCAAAGCGAAGGGAACAACAATATAATCTTGTAACAGAAAATTGAAATAAATACAGTAGGGCTGGGATTCGGAGAGGCAGAGAGTGATATCAGATGAATTTAGAGAGGATGGCATAAGGGAAAACACAAGAAGGTCTCTTATAGACCATCTGAAGTCCGACCCAATAAATGAATGAACACATGAAACAGTGAAGAGTAAATGGATTTAAGCAGAAGGATGATATGATCAGTTTTGCATATTAAAAATGCCACTCTTGGGGCCAGCAGGTGCTGTGGTGGTTACGGGCGCTGGACTCCCACATGGCTGTGTTTCGAGTCCTGGACCTGATGGCTTTTTTTTCTCACTTTCTCTTTCTCTTTCTCTCTGTCCCTCTTTGATCAAATTAGAATAATAAATAAATAAATAAAGCCAAGTAAAATAATTATTTAAAAAAATACCACTCTACCAATGATTCTACTTAATAACAGGAGCAGAGAATGACACACAAGCAGTTAGTAGAAAAGATGGCAGTGGCTTACATTAAGGTAACGGCCGTAAACAAATTAAAGATATGTTTATGATGAAAGACAATAGAGGTTGGAGAAGGGTAGATACGGAGTGCAGGAAAAGCGGACATCAACGATGACTTGCCCAGCCAGTTAGAGGGTGATGCCATTCACTGAAGTAGATGACACAAGAAGAGGGCCAGGTAAGGGGAAAGATTATGAGAGTCATGGATATGTTAAGGTACCTTTTAGAAGCACAGATACCAGGCCAGCCCACGGCTTGGTGATTAAGATGACCAGATCCGACCTGGCTGACCCCAGAGCTCAAGTTCCAGAGCCAGCAGCTTGAAAAACACTGTGGGAGTGTATGTGTGTGTGTGTGCCCACAATCCCCAAAGGAGGCAGAAATGGAGGAGAAGGGATTCTATCACAACCATCCTCCGAGGGAGTGCTTTCTCAGTTTCCTTCTTTTTTTTTAAATAAGAGAAATTTTTTTCTATAGAGAATGTGTGCTCACTAGAGAGACAGAGAGAAGCAGAGAGACAGAAAGCAAGAAATCACCCTTAGGGATATAGCCATGCCACAATCCCTTCTCCATTCTCCTCTTGGGAATTTGGGCATGCATGCACATACACCCTGCGTGAGTTTTAAGTTGCCAGTCCAGAACTCAAACCAAGGTCGACTATGTAGGAGTCCAGCGATGTAACCATTACACCATCTGCTGGTCTCCAGTTTCCTCTTTCTCTCTCTGTCTCTCTTTGGTGAGAGAACACATCCACTAGAAAACTAAATTAAAAAATAGAGATATCCATTGTCAGTTTGCATGATGGATGGAGAAATGCAAGTCTGAGAGTGCAAAATAAATTGAATAAAGACTAGGCTGTGAATTTTGGTGAGTATATAAAAATACATTGAAAAGGAATGCCACATGAAAGAAAAAAAAATAGTTGTAAGTTGAGACAAGCCTAACACAGTGAAAAATTTGTAAAACGAATACTAGATAAATAATAAGTGGGTTTAAGAACATTGGGAAAAGGGAAAACTGGGGTTCACTTGACAACCCTGTTAAGTCCAAATAAAAGAGCAAAGTCAAAACCCCCAGTCCTGGGAACCAAGTTCTGTCTCTTAGGAAGTGGTAGTTCAGATCTGGAGGGAAAGTAGCAAGTGTGAAACAAAAAGGCAGAAATCCTTCAGGAGGCAGAGGGTGGGAGGAAGGAAGCAGATGGAGCTCATGAAGCTTTGACACATTTAGATAACCACAATAAGTTAGCCTCAAAAGTGCCTGTCAAAAATACAGTTAGTAACAACTTACTGTATATAGCAGAGTAACTAAAAAAGAGGATTTTTGAATGTTACCAACACAAAGTAAAGACAAATGGCTGAGATGATGAATATACTAGTTACTCTGGTGTAATTAATGTACAGTGTATTCTTGTACTGAAAAATCACATCATACCCCACGCTTATGTACAATTAAAAAAAAGAAACCAGGTTTTCACCCAAACCATCCTAATACTGACGCACTGTTTTTTTCCCTACACAAGGATATTTAAATAAATGCATGCTAAAGCAAACATTATATATTCATTTTCATGGAATTAGGAATATTCAGATAGAAACATCTTTGTCCTATTCAAAGTTTATACTCACACTTTGAAAATGAAAACCACAAATCAGTTATGATTTTACTAGATCAGCAAAAAAAAATTATTTTAAAAGAAGGACAGATGAAAATAAAGGTTGATCTAGACCCCTAGTTCTTAGGCATAAATGGCTGTCTCGAGTCTTCAGAATGTCTACATTTGTGTTTTGGTATTCCATCTAAAATTTTATTTAGTCTTTTTGAACTTAAAACCTAAAGAATAAAATAACTCTACTGATTTTTGATATGGAGTAGAAGGTATTTTGGCATTCTTATATGTGACATATTCCTTAGAATTGGAGAAGAAATGAATGGCTCCCTTGCACATGGCTCCCTTCTGGTTTTAAGGCTAAGACACACCTCATTGAATGTTCTCATGGCTTTGGAAGTTTCCACATTGCAAGAGTAAAATATTAGGGAAAAAAAGGATTTGTGACATGAACCATGTACATAGTAAATGTATAATGAAGCACACAGATTTATGTAAGAAACTAGAATTGATTTTTAATGGAATCCCTTATCTTTCCTTGTTCTAGTACTTTTATTTATTTTTTTTATTTCTTCAATATCCTTCAAGGTAAAACTACTGACCCTGGCATGATGGACAAATAAATTCACTATAAAATTTAACTGTGTCAATGTTTTCATCAATGTTCTCCCCATAAGAAGTAAACAAACTCGAGAAAATAAAAATGATATCAATTGATGTAACACATAAATTTTCTGAAATTTTCTCTGGTCCCAAGGGTAATGTTGGGGACAAAGTTTAGAATATTTATTGAGTATCGACTGTGTTTAGAAAGAATCAATAAATGTATATAGGCTACTGACAACATAAGTAGTCCAAATGTTTGGTGTGTAAGGCCTAGAACAGTGGCTGTTAAGGACTTTCTACACAGGCTTCAGTACTAGCAGAATGTTTGTCTTTTTCTTACAAAGAACATTTGGGTCCCTGTGTTCAGCATTCAGATTACATTGGTGTCAAGGCAAGGTCTACCAATGACAATATATGACATTGATATATTGTTATATAATAGAAACAATCTTAAATTTATATACTATTTCAAATATGTTAAAAAATAAATTTCTGCTGGACTCCCATGTAGTTGACCACAGTTTGAGGCCCGGATCCGGTGGCTTAAACTCACACCACGTGCGTGTGCGTGCGTACCCAAGATTCCGAGAGGAGAATGGAGGAGAAGGGATAGTGGCATGGCCATCCCCCCTGGGGGGTGATTTCTCTCTTTCTGTCTCTCTGTCCCTCTCTGTCTGTCTGGCAAACACACACGCCCTACAGCAAAAACCTCTCCAAAAAAATAAATAAATTTCGGTATATTTACTTTTGATTAACAGCCACCAAGATGAACATTATTAAAGTATTTAACAGAGGTAATATTAACTCAACAAAAGTATTTCTTGAATATTGTGAATGAAGGTGCAGAAAAAACTCAGAGTAAAAAGTAACATCCTGGAATCCTGCTTTAGCTAAAACCAGATCTAAGTTCTTCACAGCAAGCAGGAGACTCAGAAAATGCTGACTTTAATTACAAACTTTATTTGTCAATACAATTCACAGTTTATACATGGCGCATTCCACCATATGAACTTTCAGACAGTTATTGAAGAAATGGGTGTAGCTTTCTTTCTAAAAGAGCCTGTCTTTCTAAAATTTTGGTTAGAATTTTTTTAAGTTTATAAAAGTACCTTTAACAAGCTAACTGAATATTTACATTTCTATCTTAAATTTAAATTTTGGAAAATAAGCTTCTATTAGTGTTTTCTTGTAAGATCCTGGATTTATTTTTTAAGATTCGCACCTGAATGCTGTTTACTCAGACATGCGGCCCCCATCCAAAGTGAAAGAAATCAGTGTTACAATTATATTTAGGGAAATCATGTTCTTTCTGCATTTTAAAAATTATATAAACAATGTACAGCAGATCTAAGTATGAAAATAAAGGAAAGAGTAGCAATTTACTGGGTGCATTTACTGATTATTTTTTTTCTGAATCTTGAAAACATCCAAAGAATTACAAGATATAAAATTAAACTAAAAAGGATTATCAGCCTTTTCTATCTTAAAAACATAAAAACAAAAAACTCCCAAGATTTAAATTGTGCTATAACAGCTTTTTCTCTAACATCAGAGATGAATTATGCCTGTACTCTGCATTTTCCCATGTGCAAAATCACAGTGATCCCAGTTTCAATTTCTGTTACACTTTGTCACAGCCCAAAGGTACACCTACAGAGGGCTGGGACCATGCCCAACACTCGCCGTCTTATCACCCCTCTCAGCTGGCAAGAGTCACCCAAGGAAAGAAAATTAGATAAGTCTTTTATACATCAAAAAGCAAATAGATGCTGGCAGTATAATATTTATTAGCAAATACTCGTAACACATTGTTTTGCTCGTTTCTTTTCATCAGAATGGTAATTCACCCCAACTACTTTAAATCCCCTTCAATACAATCCATTTTAACAGTTTTCTTCTATCGGATCATTTATATGTACTGAAATTCCTCTTCCGACTTAAAAGAAAAAACATAGAATTATTAATAAATGATAAATTCCAAATACCACAAGGAAAAAGGGGACTATGTGAGAGCAGCCAGTGTTACCGGCCCGAGAATAATTACACTGTATGTCTGTACCATTGGTACGTGAGTCAAATAAATACTCAGAGGGGCCATCTTTGCACCTCATTTCTCTGCAGTGCCTTTAATGCTAGTTTCTGAGTGTTGCTTCAAAGTCCATCTAATTTGGCATCTATTCCTTCTTCAGGCATCATCGCTTCAGTCATTTACATACTGATTCCAGCAAGGTATGGTATTCAAAGGTGAGTACTGGGGTAAGAGACTGCACAGGTGAGCCTAGGGGTGGGGGGGGCGGGGAAGGAGAAACCACACATTAGCTAGAGAGGTTCTGTTTCTTCGTAAAATAAGGCACTGACAGAAAATTTCTTAGGTAAAAGGCTGCATAAGAATTTCTTGCCATTTACAAAAAGAAATGTTGTCATCCATAAATGGTCCCTATCTAGGCTCAGTTAGGTAGACCCTGAAAAGTTAAGGACTGATCCCTCAAAGCTACGTTATGACCCAAAACAATTAGAATTCATTCTGAGGGCTTATGGCACACTAGGGAAAG